AAGATAACAAATATTCGTAAATTTGTTCACACAGAGAGAGTGAAACTGAAATACTCCCTCCGTCCATGTATGATCTTCCCATTACGCGTTACGAGGCTTGATTGACTTTATTTTCAATTCAATTTAATTGATTATAGGAGTAAAATTTTAAAATAAAATTTATATAGTAATAAACTAAATGAAAAATTCTACAAAACTAGAGGTGACAAGACTATATTATTTTATGAAATGACTAGTAAAATTGAGCAAACAAAGTGAGTAAAGTTTGACCATGTGAATAGTGTCTGAGAAGATCTATGGTGGATAGAGGGAGTATATAGTTTATAGTTACATTATTTGTGTAAACAAATTAGAGACAATTGTTATTTGAAATGTCAAATTCAATTCGAAAGTGTTATATTGATGCTTTTCCCATAAATTAGAGTGGCCTAATATGCACGGAGTATATATCTAACTAATCTAAGTCAAGTTAGAAATTTCATTTTGCTACTATAAAAAGGGAGATTTTTATTTCAGAAGGAAGAAGAAGAAGAAGAAAAGAATGGGTGCGTGCGTGGGGGGTGGGGGTGGCTGGGAAAGAGGAAGAGAGTAAAGGGGGGAAAGGTGGAGTCAGAATAAAAAATTTAAATTTATAAAATTATAATTTGACCCCAAATGACTTGAAGGTGACTTAGAAACCGCCTATTGAACCACCGGTGAAATAATGTTGAAAGTTCATGTACTTTTGTGAAAGAAATTAAAGTTTATATACCGAAATGAAATAATGATGAAAGTTCGTATAGCATGGGTGAAATTTACCTGTCTTTTGTAAGATAAAGAACATGTAGTTTGCAATATACTTTGTCCATTTTTTAATTTTCACATTCGATTTTTATGATTTTTAGTGCAACACTTTAATTTTCACATTCGATTTTTAGTGCAATATACTTCCTTTGTGTGGGTCATAAGGTCTATGTTAGCCTTCATATAAATCAAATAAATTAAATAACGAGTATTCGTGATTTCGTAAACCTTCTCTTATACTCTACTATGTTTTTCGTTTGCATAAATTTTACTCACTCTGTCTTAAATTAAGTTACATATTTACTATTTGGGCAAGGTTCCCATGACATTGGAAACCAATGTCATGGGAACCAAGGTGTTACTATTTATAGAGTCAAATTTCATTCACCTTCTTTCTATATTTCCGTTACTTATTTGATAAAACGATATAGTCATGTCACTTGGTGTTTCGTATAATTTTTTATGTTATTTTAAATATCTAAAAATTATAATGAACGGGCATCGAAGAGTGAGTGTGAGATCATTATTTCATAGATTTTCATAGATAAGGCAAGGTTCCTATCTCCTCTATATGTCCAGAATGAGATCAGAAAAGCAAAGGAGCAAGAGCTCCGCACAGTGCTAAATTCCAATTCCAAATTTCATTGAGGAAAAGCGGAACATATAGCTTTGATCACATCTTCATGCAAAATTTGAAGAAATATCGTACGGAGTGAACAGCCAAGATTGATTTTACCGCACTCTGTCTGGTTTTAAAAAGCACCGAAACAGAAATTTTTGTAGAAAAGAGAAATTTGTGGAGGGGTAGCAGAAGAATCGAATTGGGTTCGACTCCCGAAACATGCGAGTAATTAAATACTATATATTTCAATTTTGACATATCTAGGGAGAAATACCTTAGTAGAACTCCCTCCGTCCCAAATTGTTCTTTCCACTTACCTTTTTGCCCGTCTGGAAATATTCCTTTCATTTTCTTTTTTAGTATACTTTATAAGGATAAATTTAAATAATACCATTCTATTTTAACAATAATCTACTTTTTATTGTTTTCTTAATTAGAAAAGGAGATTTAAAAGTTTATACTTTATATTATGCGAATTCTTAGAAATTTGATACTTTTTTTACTACTCTTAATAAACATGTCAAGTCAACATAGGAAGAACATTCAGGGAGTACATGCTATTATTGGCAAGTGACAGCATTATGCTAATTGCTGAGACTCGTGAGGGATAAGTTGAAAGTGCGGCGTCAATACTTAAATCCAAAAGTTTCAAATTCAATCAGACTAAAAAGAAAATACTTAATTTGAGGTAAGTGAAGTATATTTTAATTTTTTATTTAAAACACAAATAATTTTATTTTTCAAAACATTTTTTTAAAAAATATTTTTGAAAATTAACTTTTCATTATTTCAAACACACGTTTTTCTTCTCTTCATTTCAAAAAAACATTTTTCTTCTCTGTATAAAAAAATTTAAAAAAATAAAGAATAAAATAGATGGAGCGTTCGTGTTCATTTCCAAAACCATAATGGGCAATGAAACTATCCATTCACTATTTGAATGGTTTTCGGTTTAGAGAGACATTGGCATCAAATATTAAAACTACGAGAGACATCGAATAAATTTTAAAACTATAGAGAATAACAGTGTGCATTACCAAACCACGGAGGACATTGGTGCAATAAACTCACGGGAGATGTTTATACTTTTGTCTAAATTAAATTTTACATTTTTTATATGCACTAAAATTTTATAATTTCGCCATTTCCAAGAAAAAAGTTTGCGGCTGCACCTTTTCCATTTTCAAAATAAATTTCGACCGTTTTGGCTTCTTTTTTTCAATGGCAACCGTTTTTGGCTCTGCATTTTATATTTCAAAAAGGGCGAAAAGGAAGAAAAAAACTATATTTCAAAGTATAGTTTGAAATATATTTTGGCCTATGGGCCGGAAGGAGCAATTCTTATATGCTCGTTATATACTCCGTATAAAAAAAACTATATTTCAAAATAAAACTAATAAAATTTCAAAACTGCATATCTACAATTTGGTGTGATTACTTTGCAAGTTGGGGTCTAATTTGTGAACCACAAATCGTGTCGTTTATCTAATTAAAACACATGAAATGTGCAGTGACATTATTATCTTTTCGCAATTTGAGAGAACAGAAGTGAGAAGCCAGTCCCAGCCAAAATGCACTTTGAAGAAAATGCAAAGATACTACCAAGTACACTTATATCATTTACCACTGTCGCCGCCAAATTGCGTAGAATTCCCATTCCAGAATGCATTCTTGTCTCCAAACGGACTATCATCGTCATGTTTCAGGGTGTGTATATTCCTCCCAAAGCGAGATCGGAGGGTGCTGGTACCAGGTGACTGTCGATCTGATGAACTAACACTATAGGGTCTTCCATTTCCTACAAGAACATTTGAGCAAAAGTTTAGGGGCTCGTAACAAGGTAGAATAAACTTTGATGTATCATTTCATTATGCTTCGAATTCCAAGAAATTCCCTTATTATCGGGAATGTGGTGCCTGCGATTGGATGTTAGGGTGGCTTGCTTGAGAAGAGGATAGATTTTTAAATAAGGTACAATTTAAACGGATATATTGTGAGCTACTGGTTCATATAATTTCTCTCTGCCCTGTATAAATCGACCACAATTACGCTCCTCTTGAACTTTGTGCAGAAGGAAAAAAAGCAACATAAAAAAGGTAGAGAGGAAGTAATATTAAAATATCCATCAATAGCTAAGCATATAGGTTTATAGAAACCAAAACGATCAAAATACCGTACCAGTTTGTAACCAAAAAATCAAAATGAGTGATGGAAGCCTAAAGATCCAGCAAGAGATATCAAAAGAATGAAGAAACCTTACCATTATTTGACATGCCACTTTGAGAAACATGTGTATCATCTGCTGAGCTAGAACTCTCGCCAAGAGAGGAGAAAGGATTCAAATAAGAGAAGAGCCTCCTAACTATGGAGAAATATCCTTCATTTCTCCCACCTGTGGAACCAGTCTTGTTGGCCAAAGCATTCTGGTCTCGCAATGATAAGTTTCCCTTGTGACGAAGTACCACAATCAGCGTTTGTCGACCAAGGAGATTCAACTCTGATAATGTTCTGTCCAGATCTACATACATATAATAAAGGATATATGTGTGACATTCAAACTCGGGAAATAACCATTTGGGCAATATACTTCCCATGCGTGTGAAACTGTGAATATGGAGCGCACTGCATTCAAGAACACAGTAGAATCCCACAAAAGCAGAGCCTGGGGAGGGTGTGGATACGCAAACCTTACCCCTACTCAAAAGTAGAGAGGTTGTTTCCAACATTCCCCAGCTCGAGCAACATAGAAAGCACAAACACGAAAAGCAAAGAGCAAGTGTTCTGCATTCCATGAGACTAAAATCCTTTTTACTTCTGTTTTCATCCAATAACATAACTGGAAACTCATTACCTTGATCACTAAAGACCTTGCGTGGGTAAGGGACAGCGAGATCATAAGAAGAGCTAATTTCTTGGTCCCTATCAATATGATCTTTGACTTTTCTCAAAATGTCTGTTGCTGAAAGCTTCACTTGTAAACTGGAGCCATCTGGCAGTTTAATGTTTAAATGAACATCTGTTGATGTTCTGGAAGAAAGTTGTGCTACACGAGTTTTCTCAACTTCAGTTGCTTTATCTATTGAAATGGAACACCCATCATCAGAAGTGCCAGTAGTGTCTCCCCCAATATTATATGAAGTTTCTACTTGTGCAATTGCAGGGGCATCAGAGTTGTTACTTTCACCACTCACACGAACAGAACTTGCCTCCTGCCTCACAATAAACTTATGAGTCATCAAATATAATATACTCCGTATATTATGTTTATCCACATGCTAGATAGAACAGAATATGATCAGTTTAACTTTGACCCAATGTACAAAACTATCTACCTTAACTTTTGTTGTAGATTCCATAGATGGTCCAGCCTCAAAAGACTCTGCTGCTTCCTTGACCGTGTTATGAGAATCCATACAACGTCTAGCAGTATTAGAGGCCAATTCTGTTTCTGATGTAGTTGGCAATTGCACAGTTACTCTCGAAGAACTCGCCTGCTCGGGTGAAATAGAACTTAGAGTTCCTGGAGGACGTTCAGCCTTAGGAACAGGGCCCAATGTTTCCTGCATGCATCATCATACTATTCATTACAATACAGTTTGTACAAAAAAACTAAAGATAACCAGAAACACACAAATTAAACGTGTGTAAATCGGGGCTTATAATCATAAGTGATTATCATAAGTGGTGCTCCAAAATATGGCAATATGGCATACAATTAACATCTTCATTTTCAAGTATTTCAACAAAACAAATGTTGGCAACATCCTTGCTTTTCAAACATAGAGCGGCATCCAATCATTTCAAAATTCCTAAGAAATGAAACTACTGTAAAAAAACATAATTGGCATTTTAGAATGATGAATGATATGCTCTCTTGGTTAATGTGACAAAATCATAATTATGAAAGGTGAGAAGAACGTGACCAAAAGGTGAATATAAGTAATAAAAGAAAGTGTGTGTTTGCATCCATCCATCCATCCATCCATCCATCCATCCATCCATCCATCCATCCATCCATCCATCCATCCATCCATCCAT